ATGGTCTGTGGAGGTATTTCAAATATGGGAGACACAGAAAACTAAATATGGAAGGAAGGACTTCACACTCGTGGAGGAAAATCTTCTTAGAGGTACTAATCTTTTTTTTTTTTTAATTTATTCATGAGAGACACAGGCACAGGCCGAAGGAGAAGCAGGCACCCTGCAGGGACCCTGACGCGGGACTCGATCCCGGGACTCCAGGATCAGGCCCTGGGCTGAAGGCAGCACTGAACCGCTGAGCCACCTGGGCTGCCCTAGAAGTACTAATCTTAACAAAACATTTATTTCATCTGAACTTGCAGAAGAATGTTAAGTTCAGTCTAGTGTAGGTTTAACAGGTATTTTGTAGATTATACTAATATACTCCATCAAAAGAATATCAATTCTCTGGTCTTGTACAAACAAATAACAACTAATACTTGGATATTATAAATATAGTTGATGAAGTTTATGTATGACTATAAAGATTGGGACTTTCCAGAGTGAATTTTACATCATCATATGCAGAAAAATCAATAATCTTCAGGTAATTAATATTTTAGTTAAAACAAATGAGTAGATTGAAATAGACCAGATTTTAACAAAACAAATGGTGGGACATAAAACGCACAACCATATCAGAACAGACATGAACTTAGACATGCCAGACCAAGTGTTTCAATGTTACTCTAGTGAGGAAGAATTTGATGTTCATAGTAGAACAACATTTTAGTAGTTATTTATTATTATTTTTTTGTAATTTACTCTGTATATGTTATAAGCATACATTGTGTTTTTTAGTGATAGCATGTAGTTATTCCATTATGTATGTTTATTACTTTCCAATTAATTGCTTTTCTAGTCCTGAGTGAAAAGAACCCCTGCAGGTCTTATTAAGAAAGGAACCTGAGTAAAGCAGTCTGATCAGTATTAGTTGTGCCCTCCTTTTATCCAAATTGTGAGAAGCACTTAGGAATGTCCTTAAAGAGAAATACTTGAATGGGATCTATTCCCATCCTATTGCTGTCTAAACAGCAAGTTGTTTGTAAGGAGATTTAATTTCAAGGAAAATGAATAGGAGGTACCAAAATAAGGTCAACCAGAAAATATTATCTAGGAGACCACCTAAAAGCATCACTCACTTGGGAGGAGACAGATACATCATTGGGAAACTGAACCAGAGATGGGACAGGGAAGATCTGAATTCCTGGTTAATAAGCTAAATGGGAAAGGATGCCTTGGTGCTCAGCGGTTGAGCCCAGGGTGTGATCAAGTCCCACATCAGGCTCCCTGCATGGAGCCTGCTTCTCCCTCTGCCTCTCTCTCTCTCTGTCTCTCATGAATAAGTAAAATCTTAAAAAAAAAAAAAAAAAAAGCCAAATGGGAGTGACCCAACAGAGCCATGAAGGAAACAAAATTAAGGCCAGCAGTGAAAATGTATGATAGGGGAAAAAATGAAAAAAAAAAAAGTTACTGCAGTTCAATACTCTTTACTATGGGCCAAAGTAGAATCTTAAAGGAACTTAACTAGGCAGCACATGCCGAGCATCTGCAGCAAGAAGGCAAAAAGAAACATGAGCTCTGAAATTCTTGGAGGAAAGGGCATGTGAAGATGAGAATCTGGGGTGTAAACAAACAAAAGGGATGTATACACTCATGTGCTAATAGGTCTCAAGACCACTTAAAGATGTGTATCCAAAATAAATGAGAATGTATTTTTTATTAGCAAAGTCCACTTACAAAGCTAAAATTTTACATCATGCAGACTGTTCTTCTGTATCTCAGCATCCTGATAAATGCCTCCTCAGCTTGTTATTTCCAATAACCAAAATAAGTGAATGACCAGAAGGATAGAGTGTTGCTATAATTTCTTCAAACATCACAGCTAACTTGCTTTCTTTCATAAGGTAGCTAAAAGTTACCAAAAGAGAAGCCCCATAGTACACAAAAAGGAGGAAAAGAAATGAAGTCACAGTTTTCATGACTCCCACCTCTGTGCTGAGGTCTCCACAGCCTGTAACGTTGAGTTTCATTTGCTTGATATGTCTCCACAGGGACATAATTAAAAGGAAAAATGAGACCAATGACACAGTACATGGGGCAATTGCCAACAAGTTAGAGAGTCAATGGCTTGAAGTATTGACTTTTACTTACAGAGAGCATTTCAGTGCAGTTTCCTTTATGTTTTGCAATGTTACGAAACTCACAATCATAATTTGGTGACATTGCTAGTATAAGGCTGATTAAGGAAGAAAGAGCCAAACAACCCAGCAGAATCCAGTGAATCACTCTGTAAATTCTCCTCTTTAGCCAGAGAAAAAGGTGGGTGGGAGAAATTGGCTATCTTGAGTAAATAGAAGACATTAAGGCAGGTGGCGAACCATATACTTAAGTAGTTGGTGAATATACAGAAGATATTAATGACTGCTTGTAGCTTATCCTTTTTTAAAAAATCTGGGTAGAGTACCATTTTGGTGCCAATTAGTATCATTACACAGAGCAAACCAACTTTGGAGATGGCTAGACTGATGAGGATATAGTCAATTGAGGAGATCTTTTTCTTCTTAATCCAGTCAATAGAGTTTACTAGTCCAATGCATGCATTCCCCAACATTCCTATTATGAATTCTCCAGTTATTATGATCATGAAGATGTTGTCTTCCATACTGAGCACGTTGGTAGAGAGAACACCCCTGATCTCCAATATCACTGCAGATAGACTAATAGACTCTCAGTTGAAGCGTGTTAAGTAAGTTCTTCAAATCACATAATAATGTTTTTATTTCATCCACTATTTTAACTTTGATATAATCCCAGAAGTACCCAGCTCTCTTTTGAGATAAAATTGAGGACTAAACCAACTGGTTAATAGTTTGACTAGCTTTGAGCCTGGGCAAATTATAATCATCACTGTTTAGCTAGTGATAGGTGAAATCACTTGGTTGAAACTGCTCTCATACAAATTAAAAGAGATCGTACTTCATGAATTTGCAACAGGCTTCTTACTGTTAAGGTCTATGCATTTTTACCTGTCAAGTTGAGTTTTGAATACAGAACTACAGAAAGCAAACAAAAACAATGTATTCCATAAAAATCGCAATGTATAAATAAAAGTCCATTTTCTTCACTATAAATTATAAATTAATCCAAAGTCAGATTTCCTAGTGGAAATGAATTTTCATTTTGGAAATGATCAGAACAACCAGATTGTACAAAATTAAGAGGATGATAATTTTCATTTTCATATAAATGCTTAACTAGAGAAGGATATGATACAAATCTAATTATAAATGACACAGTATTATTAGTTAGGCAGGCACATGGCAATATTTACTAAAAATTTTTTCTCCATGAAATTTTTTAATAGAAGTGAATGATGCTAGATGAGGATTTGCTATGCTTAGTTTTATTTAATATGGGAAATGCTATCCATGACAATTCACTTCCTGAAATGTTGTCTCTTGGATAATGAATATTTTCATATATAATTAAGGAAATACACTTGAAATTGGAATCCGCTCCTTTTGTAAGATTTATAATCTCACATTCTACATTGTAATGTAGATAGGGCAATCATATTTTTAAAAAATATTTACTAAATAATATTTCCAAGGAATAGGACTAATTCTACCATTAAATTGGTTTATTCTTTCTTGGAAAACCCAACCCATAATAAATTTAAGTTCGGGTAATACAAATCACATAAATTAGCATTCTTCTTATGTTTAAGTACTTTTATTTTTTTTAAATCTTTTTTTTTAATTTATTTATTTATTTATGATAGTCACAGAGTGAGAGAGAGAGGCAGAGACACAGGCAGAGGGAGAAGCAGGCTCCATGCACCGGGAGCCCGATATGGGATTTGATCCCGGGTCTCCAGGATCGCGCCCTGGGCCAAAGGCAGGCGCCAAACCGCTGCGCCACCCAGGGATCCCTGTTTAAGTACTTTTATAATGTGAATAACATATGTAGTATTTTTTCTATTTCTTATGTGTACATAGTATGTAATAGGAAAGCATGAAATTAATAATTTAAGAAAACCTAGTTATCTGTAAGATGTTATCAGAAACAGAATACAAAAGAGAATGATGCTAAGAGGAAAAAAAAAGTGTCAAAGTTTCTTGAGTCTAAAAGGGTAGAGAAAACATTCCAAACAATCTTTGAGAACTGACTCCTAAAACTGGCATTACCAGCTAGGGTGGTTTGGGTATACATATTTCTAACTGTACAGCCCCCAGCCCCTTTCTTGGTCAAACCTTTCCTTAAGATCATACTTCTTTTCTTACATTATATTTCACCCTAGTGAGGAACTCGCCAGAGTGTTTTTTCTCCCTCTTATGAGGACAAACCATTCTAGAAATGGAGGGGACAGGGCAGAAAAGATAAGGACTGACCTCCAGCTTAGACAAAGTAGACAGTTTTTTACATGATTGATTTTATAGGAAAGGCTGATAGATTTTAAAATCTCTTCCCCACAGCCTGTTTACCCGAAATTTTTCTGTTTTGAGTTCAAGGCCTTTACCAGAATATTATAGAAAGGCGTAGAATCTTTCTGCATTAGGCAAATATATAAAATGTTAGCATGGGATCTGGAGTCATTTTTCCTGCAAAGACAAAGAAATACATGAGGTTCAATGATAACATTTGATTTATTTTTCTTTTTTTAAGTTTTTTTTTTTATTTATTTACGACTGACACAGAAAGAGAGAGAGAGGCAGAGACACAGACAGAGAGAGAAGCAGGCTCCAATGCAGGGAGCCCAACGTAGGACTTGATCCCTAGACTCCAGGATTACAGCCCCGGGCCGAAAGCGGCGCTGAACTGCTGGGCCACCGGGGCTGCCCAATAACATTTGATTTAAAGTTAAACAGAACAGAAAGGTGAAAGAAAAAAGGAAAATTTAGAATAATGCTAGATACTAATAATTGCTATTAGCATGGAGTAAAAACAATGAATGTAATCAATTGAGAGAAGGGAGAGTCTTTTGTTGATTTCTTTCTCCTTGTATTCAGGATTCTCTATGGAACAAACGGTTTCCTTCTTTTGTGGAAACCCTTCACAATTCTAAGCACTTTTAGGAAAGCCCCCCTCAGCCTGCTGTTGCCCATTATCAGTATGAACGAATGGCTCGATGGGAAAATGCCAACTACCACGCCACCAAACATAACCACTAATTTTCCGTGAGGAATCAGGAAGCTAGAGGTTACTACAAGAGAGACTGCATAGTAAATAATGAAGAGGAGCAGAAAGATCATCACTGTCTTTATGGCCCTCATGTGGGCCTCTGTGCTGGGGTCTCTGGACCCTATGGCATAAAGTTTCATCTGCCTAGTGTGTCTAAATAGGAAGAAAAGTAACAAGAGAACTGAGATTAGGCAAAGAACAAAGGGAACTATAGCTCCCAGATTCAGGATAACCAGTTTGAAAGCATTTGGGATTTTACTCACTTTGAATTCCCAAGTTATGTTTTTCTTATGATTGACTTTGAAGGGATCCCAGAAGTCCTCATTCAATTAAACACTAATAATTATACAGGTAAGAAAAGACATCAGAAACATCCCCAGAATGACTCTGTTAATCTTTAGCTTCAGCCAGAGGAAAAACGGATGGGATATATTGGCTATCTTCAGTAAATAGAAAATACTGAGGCAAGAAGTAAAACAGATACTTGAATGATTGCTAAGTGTCCAGACAACATCCACAATATTCATTAGCTCGTTCTTGGCATATATCTGGAGAGAGCAGCAAAATAAAGCCATCTAAAGATATCACACACAGCAAACAGATTCTGGAGATGGCCAAGATCACCAGGATGATGTCAATCACGGAGATGTCTCTCCTTCTGAGCCACCTAGTGCAGTTAACCAGTGCAATAAATCCATTTCCCCAAATTCCTATAGTCATTTCTCCGGCAATCAAGAAGATGTATATTACCTCCATTGTACTTAGCATGGCAGCAGAGAGTTCTGATTTGGGATATCACTGGTGATGAACTGGCTTTCAGCAGACCAGTGAAGAATGGTTTACTTATCTGTCACTTAGGTCATGCTGCATTTGTCTTTTTCTGTCCTCTTGTCAGCTCTAATTCAGCTGAGTGGGGTACTGACTCAGCTGAGTTCTGCTCCACATGAGAACTGCCTAAAAGACTTCACTATACTTTCACTATTTATGTATAAAGGATTGTATCCATCTAGTTCCTATATAAATATAGTCAAAACATTTTTATTTTTTTAAAGATTTTATTTATTTATTCTTGAGAGACAGAGAGAGAGAGAGAGAGGCAGAGACACAGGTAGAGGGAGAAGCCAGCTCCACGCAGGGAGCCTGACGTGGGACTCGATTCTGGGTCTCCAGTATCACACCTGGGCTGAAGGCGGCGCTAAACCACTGAGCCACACGGGCTGCCCTAGTCAAAACATTTTTAAGCAACATATCTATGAATCTATATGTATTTTGAAATTTATCTCGAAATCTACATAGAAACATGCTAAGCAGTAGTTAGTTGAGTGTCACAAATATGCACAATCTTAATTTCTCCTCATATCTCTCTGTGTTTTTAATTTTAGGTGCAGTGAAACTTTTATTTTATAATCAGAAAAAAATGGATTCATTGATCAAAGGAACATGTACCAATAAAACAAAACAAAACCAAATTTTTGTAAAAATGACAGTAGAAGAAATCATAAAGGGAAACAAATGGATTTGAGTTCATATAAATTACAAACTTATTTCCCCAAATAACAAACTAAGTTATTTACTAAATAGCAAATATATATATATACATATATGCCATAATACATATATAGCATAATGTTAATATATAAAGTGTCAAAATTGGTAAGAAACATGATAAGGCATGAGAAAAGAAATAGAAAACAAATGAACAATTCCCAAAAATTGTATCCCACTGGTTAATAATTCTGTACAAATGCTTAACCTCATTAGTAATCAAATATATGCAAATATAAAAGATGCTTTGTGATCAAAATAACAACGTGTAATAATCTTGAATGATTTTGAGATTGAAATAGGATGGGTTACTTTTTTCACTATCAAAATATTAGTTTGCTCTTTCTGCAGGGCAACATCAATTCCGCAAGGAATATATCAAGGTCTTCCATATTAGAATGTTTCTGAAAAAATAATTTCAAATACTGCACTATCTACTAGTCATACTGGACTTTCAGTTCCTATAATTCCCTCTACTTCTTCTGGCTTCAACACCTATGTATATGCTCATATCCCCCACCCCAAATCTCTCCTGCTCTGCCCACCTTACTCTTAGGTATTGTTTAGATCTCAAAAAAATTTTTTTTTCAACCTCAGTGACACCTTCTCTACTCTCAGTACTACGTCAGGTCATTTGCTTAGCACCCTTTAGTTTTTCTCTCTCAACTCCATACATATAATCATTTATTATTTTCTATTCATTTGTTTTTCTACTAGAATATCTTATTCATTATATTCGTCTCTTCTTCACTACTATACCCAGAGTTGGTGTTCAAAAACTATTTGAATAAATTAAGGCCTTATATTTAGAAATCTTCTAGGCCATAGGCCATAGTATCAATCAATGCACTATTGCAAGTTGCCAAAATAAGTTACTTGGTTCACATTCTGGGTTGGACATAAATATTCACTTCAAAAATCAGCATCTAATATGTCTGTGGGTTTGTGTGTATGAACATAAGTATGTGTAAGAGCCTAGAGCAGAACATTCCATGCTTATACTAATTCTAGGTTCAGACTTACCTCTCTTGGTATAACTCAGTGACCATGTTGAATCTTTTGGATCTGTACTTCTAGCAGAAGCTTTGTTCAAATCTAGTTAGTTCATGATTCTACTTCATCTCAAATCAGTTGGTTTAAAGAATATAAAGACTCATTTTATCAGTGCTCTGATCTCCTGTCCCCAGTCTAGACTCTGCTTCCTGAGCTATTTCCTGTAGAAAATCTACTATCACTACTGCTACTCCATCAAACCCATGCCAATAAAAAAAATTAATTTAAACAGTGAAAATACAATTTTAAAGGATTAGAATTACACACTCCAAAGACACACCTCTGTCTCTGTCTCTTACATCCATGTTCTAAATGTCAAAACTGATTACAATTCCCTTTGTCTTGCTTTCTTTTTCTGAGTCTTCTTGGTGAAAGGCTGACAGTGCTTCAGGGAAGTCAGATAAAGCATGGTGAAAACTCTGTTTTAGGTACTTATTGTCACCATCATAACATTTACAGTGAATATTCTCCAAGCTGTTTTCCTGTGGGTGGTGTGTGGGAAGAAGAAATTGCAGGATAGAGAAGCTGATTGAGCCACCGAGTTGTCTTGTTGAAAAGAGAAATTTCCTAAAATGTAGTCAAGATAATTATGGAAGATTTTAGTGATGTTCAATAACAAAGCTACAACCAATGTAAGTGTATGTGGTGAAGGTGAAACAGGTCTTCAGGGGCTTCTTCACTAGATTATTCTCCTGAAACATCCATTTCCCCCTACATGGATCTGTGCAGCTGTGAGCAGTCTCCTTGCCTCACAGCACTTGAGTTGCTGCAGGGTCTTCAAAGAAGCTTGCTTTAGCTTGCTGTTTCCTAGAATTAGGATAAATGAATGGCCCCAGGGATAGATGGCTGTGGTCATCATACCAAAAATAAACAGCAGTTTGTTTTCTGGCAGAATGAAACATGATATTTCTATGGCAATGCCTATAAAATACAAGATAAAGAGGATGATAAAAGATAACAAAATTTTCATTGCTTTCACATGTGCTTCTGTACTGGGGTCTCGGAGTCCAGTGACATTCAATTGCATATGCCTGTTGTGTCTCCAAAGGGAAATGATTAGCAAGAAACATGTAATCAGGCATAGAGTAAAGAGAAGAATGACTCCTAGGTTGAGTAAAATCTGCTTAGTAAAGAATTCACTTTTCTGCATGTTGAGCTGCCGGGTTGTATTTCTACTCTTCATTCTATTATCATTAATAATCTTCACAATTTGTGGAAAAGTAAATAACCATGAAATAAACAAGGATCCCATCAGAAAGGGAAGAACGCTATTGATTCTACCCTTCAGCCAGAGAAAAATGTGGTGGGAAAAATTTGCTATCTTCAGGAAATAGAAGATGCTGAGGCTGGTGGCAAACCAGATACTTGATTGATTGATAATTACCCATAGGTAACTAATATAATCAATTAAGTTACCAGAGGAATACATATCTGGAGAGAATATCTTTATAAATCCATCTGTAATTATTATCAATATCAGACAAATTCTGGAAGTAGCTAAGCCAGTGAGAATAAAGCCAACCATAGAAAACTTTTTGTTCTTCACACAGTCAATACAATTGACAAGTCCAATAAATCCATTCCCTAAAACTCCCAGTATTGATTCACTAACAACTATAAAAATGAGGAGGCCTTCCAGTATGCTTAGCATATCTGCCAGTTCCTAATACTGGTTCTGTTACATCTATTTTAGATTACCTGCTGCAGAATGAGACAAAGGTTAGCTGCTTGGTAGAAGAATTATTTTCTTCTCTTTCATACATAAAGACTTAAAAGTACCCTAATAATGCCTTGTGATGGGATCTGAAATGTCTTCATGGAGATCACCTCAGTTACATCTATCAGACTTAGCTAGTCTGGAGAACGTGTGTCCAGACTGAATGCCTACATGCAATTTGTTAAGATGCAAATGAAGCTTTCTGTTTCATGGATTTCACTTGTCCTCCTGAAACTATTTTGCATTTGTTAACCTGACTTGTGGAGTAGGAGTGCAAAGGAAACAAAACATAACAGAAACAAAAATTGGACTTCATCTTTTTAAATAGCAACTATAACATCATCGTTTATGTTGTATTTATGACAGTTTAAATATACATAAAGGAAAAATAGTTTAAGAGGTGACAAATGAATTTAGCCATTGTAGACATTTACTGTAAATAATTAAAGGCATAAAAATGCATATTCATCATTTTCCTGATAATTTGGGCAAAGTATATTTCAAGTCTCAATATAAAGAGGACAATAGATTATGACTCAATTATATAGAAACAGAGAAAAATTGCCACTTTGTGTTAGAGATGTACTGATCTAGTAGGCATAAAATCAGTAAGGACATAGTTGGAACTCAACAACACCAATCAACAGGATATAATTGACATATATAACTACTTCATCCAATAACAGCAGATTATACATTTTTCTCAAGTTCACTTGGAACGTTTATAAACATAGACCACCTTCTGGGCCACAGAGGACACCTTAACAAATGTAAAGAATGGAAATCCTACAATATCTTCTTTCAGATCAGAATGAAATTCATAATCAATAACAAAGAAACTGGAAAATCCCCAAATACAGGGAGATTAAACAACACATTTCTAGAGGTGTCTGGGTGGCTCAGTCGGTTAAGCGTCTGCCTCTGGCTCAGGTCAGGATCCCAGATCCTGGGATTGAGCTCTTTGTAGGGCTCCCTGCTCCACGGAGAGTCTGCTTCTCCCTCTCCTTCTGCCCCTTTCGCTCATGTGTGCGCTCTCTCTCTCAGATAAATAAATAAAATATTTAACAAAATAAAAAACAAATAGCACATTTCTAAATAACATGCAGGTCAAAGAAACTATCTCAAGAGAAATTTAAAACTTTGAACTACAGAAAAATGAAAACACAACTTATCAAAATCTGGGGGATGCAGGGAAAGCAGTGCTTAGAGGGAAATATAGAGCATTGAATGCATGTACTAGAAAAGAAAAAAGATCTAAAATCAATTATCTAAGGCTCCACCTTAGAAAACTAGAAATAAGAAGAGCAAATTCAATCCAATAAGCAGAAGAAAGGAAACAATAAGAATTTGAGCAGAAAACAATGAAATTGAAAATAGGAAATCAATGGACAAAATCAATAAGATGAAATGCTACTTCTTTGAAAGGTCAATAAAACTAATAAGCTTCTTAGGT